GACCATTAGGTCCAGTTGCGGACGACTCTGGGGTTGCGGCGCTCATCTTGCTTTATTGGCCGAGGGAGCCGGCGTACAGCTTCCGGGTCTTGTGGCCAGCATGACTAAGCCGCTTCTGGCGAACCAGAGCATTGCACGGAAACGCCGTTTACCTTCCCGCCAGATCAGTACCTATTTATCTACTTGCACATTGATGCGCTTTTGAACTGCTAGGTTGAACTGCTAGCTAGGACCGAGCAACGGGAGCTCACCCTGTTGTGGAGATTTGAACCGCCAACCTTTCTGATCGGCAAGCTGCAACTGCAACGGGCTCCCAGGAGTTGGGGGGGGGGGCAGTGTCATCACTTTCATCTCAAGAATTCTCTATAGAGTAGAGCAGGGAACGAGAGGAATTTGCCCCCTATCTGATCCTGGGTTGCTATGCTTCTGATTAACCTTTTTTCTTTCTGTGTTTGTCAATTCCCCCATACACACACACACACACACACACACAACCGTGCCCTTTCCTCCTGCCTCCTTTCTGTCTTTGTGATTCGATTTGGAACGCCTTCAGTGTGCATTAGGAGAGAAAAAACCTCCTTATCTTCAGGTCATCCTCACTAGGCTCTCATCACTGTCCAGCGCTTCCGCTGCTTCTGAGGGTAAACATCCATTGGCAAAGAGCAAAAAGGGGGTGTCCCTGTTTGTGCTGGACTCCTTCCCTAATTGTACCATGGCAAACTCCCTCGCAGACTACAGGGCCATCCCAAGTTAATTTGCATAGTCGTCTTACCCATGAGCAGCCTGTGACTAATAGTTTGTAAAGGTGGCCACTAAAATTAGCAAGTTGAAAAAGTGCTTTGAAATTTAAAGACTCTTTGTTACATAAAAAAGCAGATTTATTGCCCTGTGGTGAATAGCTGGGATTTTATATATTATTCAAGATTTTGAGCCGGGGCTGTAAAACGTACGGTCTCAGTTCCATGCATGGAATGTTTTATGTGTAAATTTTTTAACATTTATGGGGTATATTTTACTGAGGCCAAGGCTTTGCTCAAGGGAGAGCTTACAGGCATGTTTCCACTCTCCAGCCTTGTTAGGCAGAGTGGCCAGTTGAGAATAATCAGGGACGCTTTTGCATAGAACACTTACGGCTGGGTCCCAAAAGCACTCTGGGAGCGAGATGCCGAGTTTTGCAAATGGAGCTTCTGGGGTTTTTGGCCTTCTTAGGCGACAGAAACATCCATTTTAAAACATTGGTGCAATACCTGGTTCAGATCAATGGAAAACCATGGTTGCCTGCCACACAAGGGAGCCATGAAAGAGCATGCTCTCCGCTCCCCTTCCCTTCTCTTTTGCACGCCAAACATCTTTGCTTCCAGTTTTAAACTGGAATTTAAGTGCAATTCCCCCAATATGTCCCAAACTCGAGAAAGGAAGCATGGTTTGTTAAAGCTATAGTTTAGGAGCCAGCTGGAGTCAGAAACCGTGGTTTGATTCTGGCATGCTCTTACTGACTATTGTTTAAACCAGGGATGACTTAACATGTAATCCTCCAGGAGGCTTTTGTGGTCCCCTGTGATTCTTCCAAAATTTATTTTAAAATTAGGAAATTATAAATCACTTCCAGTATTTGTTGCCCTTCAAATGCCCTCCCCCTTTCCATTTTGAAACATTATAGCTATCCAGCTAAGTTATAAAAAAATGTCCAGTGGCACCTTCAGATAAAGGTAAAGGGACCCCTGACCATTAGGTCCAGTCGTGGCTGACTCTGGGGTTACGGCGCTCATCTCGTTTTATTGACCGAGGAAGCCGGCATACTGCTTCCGGGTCATGTGGCCAGCATGACTAAGCCGCTTCTGGCGAACCAGAGAGGCACATGGAAATGCCGTTTACCTTCCCACCAGAGTGGTACCTATTTATCTACTTGCACTTTGACGTGCTTTCGAACTGCTAGGTTGGCAGGAGCAGGGACCAAGCAACGGGAGCTCACCCCGTTGCGGGGATTCGAACTGCCGACCTTCTGATCGGCAAGTCCTAGGCTCTGTGATTTAACCCACAGCGCCACCCGCGTCCCTCTGTGGCACCTTAGAGACCAACTAAGTTTGTTCTTGGTATAAGCTTTCGTGTACACGCACACTTCTTCGGATACTGATTTTTTATATATTTTATATATTTTGACTGCGTCAGACCAACATGGCTACCTACCTGCAGCTAAGTTATACTCAGAGTAGACCCTTTGACATTAATGATGTTAGCCATGTAGATTAACTTCAGTAGGTCTACTGACAAGAACTAGCTTTGGATACAGTCTATAGCCTTTTCAGTTACTGCACCTATGTTTGCAATCTACCGCTGAGAATGGATCAGGTTGCTCCTATGCGCATCTTGGGTGCGCTCTATAGAGTGCCTTCAAGGAGTTGATTCAAACCAACCAAATTCAATCCTAACTGAGTTTCATTGAAAGCAGCACCTGTATTCTCAGAGACTTTCCAACTGTAGATAGACAATAATGGTATGTTATTTTTATTTTTATTATTGAGTTTATATACTGCCTTATAGTCTCAGGGCAGTTCACAGAACAAAATCAAAATATAAAACCACAAAATATATAATCAAAATAAAAATAACAACCCAATAACGCCCCCCCAAAAAAACCCCACATTTTAAAAGAGCATAGGATGAATAGTATGAATAATATTATTTCGGGGTTGTCTTGAAGCCATGGAACTCCCTTGCCCTGCAGAGTTGCCAAACACTAGACAACTTTTACAAGCACTGTTAGACATGTTCCCTCATGGTACCTTTTAGTGGACTAGTATTTTATGAATGAAAGAGTGTGCACCTTTGCTTCAAACGCGTAGTTGTGATTCGAGGACCCGTCCCCCGCTTGGTAATAATAAAGACCTGTGGACACAGTATATTAAGTTAATGGGCTAGAAAAGGCCACAACTTTATTGATTACAGCATGTGAGAAGGTATTGGCTTAGGCATTGGACAAGAGCAAATTTGACTCCACCCACTCGGAGAGGGGTGAGTCCGACGAGGGGTTAACCACCAGTAGGGGGAGCCTGTTGATGCAAATACAACTATAAGCTCTCCCCCTGATGTCACCGGGGGTCGTGCCATGGCCCCCCGCCACACAGGCATCGGACAGGATCCACGACCGCCGGATTCCTTTAACGGAATACCCATAAGTGAAGGGGTAGGCGATGGCCACACCTTCCCCTTCCACACACCAAGAACACATTCCAATGCCTAACCGCCAAATACCAAGAAAGTTGTGGCGATTGCTACGAGGTAGGCGAAGAAAACCAAAAGGCCGGTGCCAATTTGCCAATTGGAAAAAAACTCCTTCCAGGCCCCCTGGGCAACCGGGGCGACCAACCGTGGGGCCATAGCAAGGTCAAGTGAGAAGCTATGCACTAAAGGGAGTGGTGGGTGAGTGGCTCACGAAAATCAGCAGCGCAATGGCCGCATTTGAGCAGCTAGACCATGCCCCCGCAGTGTCTCCCGATTGGCCCAGCTGGGAGGCGTGGCGCACCAGCGATGATGGCAGGGCAGGGGGCAGAACACCCCCTGCGTGACGCGGGTATCGGCTTCCACTCACAACCCCTCCCCTCCGGAAAGAGGAGAGGCTTTCTAGCTTGTGAAGTTCACTGTCTTTCTAAGTGTGGCTGGGCTGCATTTCACCAAATCTAGAGTCACAAGCATTAACTATCAGTGAGGAAGGGATATGCCAGAATTGTAAATCGCTATGGAAACTAGAAACTTTCTGCATACCTTACAGCAGGTATGGATAACCTGTGGCCATTCATATGTTGGGGTCCAACTCCCATCTGCCCTAGCCAGCATGACCAATGGTCAGAGATTATGGGAGTTGGAATCCAAAGGCATCTGGATGGCCACAGATTTCCCCACTCCTGGTTCACTGATTTTATCATCATCCTCATATAATAATATTTTTTCAAAAAATGATATCCCATCCAACTGGCTGGGTTGCCCCAGCCATTCTGGACAGCTTCCAACAGATACAAAAACATAATAAAACATCAAACATTAATAGTAGCAATCTGATTCAATACAAAAAAAGCTCACAATATCTTTAAAAAAACAACTTATATCAAATAAAGCAGCATTCAGCAATCCATTTAAAAATACAGTCATACCTCGGCTCCCGAACTCCTTGGGAGTCTAACGTTCCGGCTCCCGATTGACCGAAAACCAGGAGTGCTCTGGTTTTTGAACTTTTTTTGGAAGCTGAATGTCCAGCACGGCTTCCGCTATTGTTTCCGGCATACCTGCCGTGCCTTGGTTTTCAAACTTTTTGGAAGTCCAACGGACTTCAAGAACAGATTCCATTCGACTTCCAAGGTACATCTATAAGAGTAAACAGTAAAATTAAATATCACCAAGAAATAATTAAACAGTTTACTACTATCAGTTACAATAAAGAATTACTAAACAGTAAAAACAACGGCAAGTCACAATGCATAAAATACCACAAAACATAAAAAGCCAGGAAACACAACTTATAAAATTATTTTTAAATCGTTGTTGGTATATGTTTAGGTTACTAGCAGGGCTGCCACTGGGTTAAATAAACATTGGTAAATAACCAAGAGTTTTATTTAGTTCAATTTGCCTATGAAAAAAGATAGTGCTAAAGAAAATTATATACTTTGGTTTAAGATGATACACTGAGGTGCCTCAATAGGCCTCTTCATAAAAGATGCATTTTATCTCGCTCATGAGAGGGGGAACCTATTCTAAGATGGTGCTTGTCTTTTGCAGTTTCTTATAGTACTTGTGTTGTAGAAATAAATAAATTCCATTTGCTAGGCAATTAATCAGGCAGGAGGCTTGTTAATCCATAAGAATCATTCAACAGTTTCATGCAGCCAATGAATGGATACGTTTTGGGAACCCTGGTTGCTACGCTTATCTTTTGAATGTGATGGTGAATGCTTTCTGTCACTGAACTAACCATCTACTCTCTTGGGTTTCTTCTACATCCCTAGATGGTGAAAGCCATTCAGGTCCTGAGAATCCACCTCCTGGAGCTGGAGAAAGTGAATGAATTGTGCAAGGACTTTTGTAATCGTTACATCACCTGCCTCAAAACTAAGATGCACAGCGACAACCTACTCAGGAATGACCTCGGGGGGCCTTACTCCCCAAACCAGTCCTCCATAAACCTACACACACAGGTAATAGTTGAAAAATGTTCAATGTGACGTGCCTCCTTAAAGAATTTCAGGGTTTCTTCAAGCTGTTTCGTATTTTCTAATGTAGAAAAGTTAGCATTTATTTCATTTTTTCTTTTCTTTTGTGGACTGGCAAAAGATCTTAGAGAAACGTGGATATTTCCAGGCATCAGAGAGATGAAGCTATGGTATTTAAAACTCTGCACCAGGGTGAGCCAAAACTGATTTATGCAACCTATATAAATAGCATTCCCTGGTCTGAGCAGTTATTAGATAACTATGACTGAGGATTGATTCAGTTTCTGATAGTCAATGGAAAGGGCACTGAAGCACTTTCCCCTGATCACAGGAAATCCTATTGAGTCCCCAGCCTTATCCCCAGCTTCTGAGACTTCACCCAGCCGCCTTCCGGCAGAACTTCCCGAACCAAAGTTACTTTAAAAGAGAAGGAGAAAAGCAGAGAATCTCAGAATTAACTACAACTGGGGTCAGCAGGTGTTAGATTAAGATCTGCTGGTAGAATGGATACTTCAGTAAAAAGCAAAGTAGCTTCAGTTCTGGTGCCCCAAACAAATTCCTGGACTCAGAATTTTTTAATTCTAAGTGTATGGCTCTGTTCGGTGGGTTTGGGAGATTCTAGCAAAAAGGGGGGGAGAATTAGAACCCATGTTTGTCTACCTCTGTCCCATGGGGCTTGTGAACCCGGGATTTGGACTAGTAAATTGGAGGGAGTGATCTCTTATTATGTGACATTCCTGGATGTATTCAGCTTAGGTTCCATCAGCACACCAATTTTTCCATGTGCAATGGAATGTTCTTCCCCTATCCTCTCTCTGTGCATCCACTAAATATGTTCAAGGGGTTCCGCTAGTCCTCCAGAACAGATTTGGGGATAGCATGGGACATCCATGGAGGGGGGGGGATTCCCTTGGACTAACGCTCATCCTTGAAAAAGATTGGTGCAATATGACCCTTCATTTCAGCACTGTCATGTTTCAGTACGATTTTTCACAGTGTCAACATTATATGACCCGTTCCCTATTCTGCTTTGGCTGCTGTGGTTCTTAGAAGGTTTGTCTGTGCCTAGATAGCCCTGTTCAGAAGGAACGTTCTCTCACATGTTGAATTAACATGCAATCAGAGAACAAAGCTTCACCACCAACATTATGCACACCACGCAGATGTGTGCAGAGAGGAAGTCTGGGCACATACGGCGTTGGTGTGTTTAGGCATTCACTTGAACATGTGAACACTCAAAGTCTGGGCAGAGGTAGGGGGCTGCACACAAGCCCTGGTCGCTACATCCTGGAGCAGGTTACACTTCCCCTCAATCGAGCAGGAAACATCTGCAGGAAGCGTCTACCCATATTTGCTGAAATGCAAGCAATTGCATGGAAGGTTCTACCTGTGTTCAAGAGAACACAAGTTGGAAGCTATCTTGCAGATCTGTCCCGCTGAATGCTAAGATAGCCAGTGACTGAGCATGCACAGGGATGTTGGGGGAAGTGTTTGTGTGCGCACCCCTGCCATCCTGCCCACAGATACAGAGTGCCCGCGTTCAGGAAAATGCACTGATGTCAGGGGGAGAAAGCTGATGTGCATAGGATTGAAGCTAAGTTAATCAACAGAGCCTGGCTCCTCACTCATATGTTGTTTTGACATGTGAGCAGTGCTTTTTTGCTTTTTAAAAAAAAGATGTTTAGGGGTACTCTCATTTTCCTACTCATATTGAAATACTGCCCCTCAATGAGGCCAGACTTAGATTCACAAAATGTTTGGGGGTGTGCGTACCCCTGCATACCCCCCCCCCCCGAAAAAAGCACTCCATGTGAGCACTTCTAAACAGGACTTCCCTGTACTAGCTGTTGTTGCTGGCATCTGTCTCGAGAGGCAATGGAGTGCGCCTCTGAAGGTGAAGTCAAATCACCACAGAATCACAGCGCCTGCTGGGGCTGCAGAGATTGGTCATTCATAACTGTTGCCTCCCACATTTATTTTTATTTTATTTTATTGCTGCATTAGCAGCACCAAAGCGGCCTCTCTGGGGCACAAGCCTGGGCAGTGTCTCTGGAGGTCCTGGGTTCCCCAGACGATAAGACCTCCCCCCCCCCGGCCTTGCTGATGTGGTCCAAAGGAAAACAGAGCAATATGCTTGGCACCAGCTTGGCTGCAGGAGTTGCCAGAAGGAGGCGTACAAGACACCATCCAACTGTCTTAGGGACTCCAGTCTGGATTTGTGTAGGGTTTGCTCCTTAGCCTTTTCTTCTCCTGAAAATGTCCTGCAAGGTTTTTTCCTAGGAGTTTACTCCCAAACGCTTTCTCGGGAATCAGTAAAACCAAGGCAGAGGAGGTTCAGAATCAGAGTTTCCTTCTCCTAAATAGGCTACCTTCCCAGGTTGACGAGCCCCATCTGCCCATAACAATCTGTAAAGGTAAAGGGACCCCTGACCGTTAGGTCCAGTCGTGGCTGACTCTGGGGTTGCGGCGCTCTTCTCACTTTACTGGCCGAGGGAGCCGGCGTACAGCTTCCAGGTCATGTGGCCAGCATGACTAAGCCGCTTCTGGCGAACCAGAGCAGTACACGGAAATGCCGTTTACCTTCCCACTGGAGCGGTACCTATGTATCTACTTGCACTTTGACGTCCTTTCAAACTGCTAGGTTGGCAGGAGCAGGGACCGAGCAACGGGAGCTCACCCCATTGCGGGGATTCAAACCGCTGACCTTCTGATCAGCAAGTCCTAGGCTCTGTGGTTTAACCCACAGCGCTACCCGCGTCCCAGCATAACAATCTGTACTGCAGCACTTTTAGCAGAATTTTAGCTGAACATGGGAATCTAATTGATATCAGGTCAGATTATACCTGAAGTCTTTCCCACCGCCTGCTATCTGATTCGTTCAAAGAACAGAAGATTGAACCCAGGGCCTTCTGCAACTGAAGCACTTGCTCTGATGGTCCCTCCACAAATATTTGCTATAATCCTGATATTCTTGGTATCACCTGAATGTTCTCATTATGAAAGCTCGAACTCACCTCTCTGCTCCTGAGTACTGTTTACTCCGATGCTTTTATAAGTCTACCCATGAATGCTGCCTTATTTCTGACTTGCTTACAAGTATGGTTAATGAGGCATGTAATGTGGGAAACAGCCCTTTTTAATTCAAATCATCGCTCCCAGAAATGCAGTAGCTTAATTTGAATGATCTGGTGGATATGCAGTTACCTGTCCTTCTATTCAGTCCTAAACAGGAGCACTATTGAATGTCTATCATTATTTTTACATTGTAATTTTGGGGCTCTTCCTTCTATAACAGGAGTAGTATTCCCTCCCCACCCCACCCTCACCCCGGCAAGGAGGACCACATTCTCTTGGGGTAACGCAGGTGGCGCTGTGGGTTAAACCACAGAGCCTAGGACTTGCCGATCAGAAGGTCAGCGGTTTGAATCCCCGCGACGGGGTGAGCTCCCATTGCTCGGTCCCTGCTCCTGCCAACCTAGCAGTTCGAAAGCACGTCAAAGTGCAAGTAGATAAATAGGTACCGCTCAGGCGGGAAGGTAAATGGCATTTCCGTGCATTGCTCTGGTTCGCCAGAAGTGGCTTAGTCATGCTGGCCACATGACCCGGAAGCTGTATGCCGGCTCCCTCGGCCAATAAAGCGAGGTGAGCGCCTCAACCCCAGAGTCTGCCACGACTGGACCTAATGGTCAGGGGTCCCTTACCTTTACCTTTACATGCCAGCAGTAGAGATTTTGAAGAATTGTCTTGCATTTCCATTGGGCATGAGAGCTGAAATTGACACAATTTGCACATTTGTCTGAGGTCAAGAGGGCATATCGCACAAGCAAATATTCGCAGTGTTCTCTGTAGTTGGGTTATTATAGTCCTGAAAGACTACACATATAATTATATTATTTTCTGCATTGTTTTTGACACTTCCCTTCCATTTACGTTCATTGAAATCAATCACATTATTTATTATATTAGTTTTGGTTATAGTGGATAGTGAGACAAATGACGTAGACTTTGACAGAAGCCAAACTGCAGCAGAACTGAAACAGTGCTGATTGCAATGATCTCTGGATGATAAGTGTTGCCTCCTAACATCCCTAGCCAGCAGTAAGTAGAGCAGTGGCAATTTGGGACAGTGTCCAAAGTGGCTGGGGGGAATTTCTCTCTCTTTCTTTCTGCCAACTCCCCTCTCTTTCTCTTTCTGACACCCCCTTCCCTCTTTCCCCTTCCTCCGCACATAGCTGGGGAGGGAAACATTGCTATTGTCAGAGGTCTGCAGAGTCTTTGAAATTAGCCTGAGGGATGCATGCTCTAGGAATTTGGCCTCTCCCTTACTAGAAAACGTAAGGGGTGCTATTTATGTGTGTCCAAATATATCAGCACAATGCAATTTGCAGTGACATCCGTTTACAAATGTTGGGGGTGCAAAGACTATCATATTTGGTCAACAGGGTTCACAGTGCAATTGTGTACATGTTTACCCAGTGGTAAGTCCTATTGTGTTTCATTGTGTTCCAAGGTAAATACAGAGTTGTGTTTCTTTGAACCGCAACCTCCTCTGCTGCACAAAAAGCCACACTCAAATGCCCTTTGCATAGGCTTTGGTGCTTCTTTGCAAAATCCCACTATATATGCTCACCTTTAAAAAGTGTCTTATGTTTTGTTTTGGGTTTTTTAAGGCATGTACATAGGGGTGAGGGAGAAATTACATCATTTCCATAAAAATTCTGATCAATATGTGAACCAGAATGCAGCCATCCTTCAAAATTCACACCTCTGAATTTTGCAGTGCAGTTCTCCAGCCAAGCAATGTGTACAAAATGCATTTACTGGGATGGTGTGTGCATTACATTGCATATGTTATTAAAATTAACATAAAATGCAATATGCTAGGAGAAAATAGTTTGCAGACTGTGTATATAGGATGAAAATTCATACAAAAATAAGATTATTAGGAGAAATTTGCACTAAAATGTTGGCAGATTTTCACAAGG